CGGAGATGGAGTTGTATCAGTGTCATATGGCAATGACAAGGTTGCAATAGTTGCCGCGAGGGGGCTCAGCCGGCACTGTTTGAGTTTTACAGAAGTATCCCAATTTCATCTCTAGGTGCTTTCTTTTTTGTGAATCTTCGTTATGCGGTTTTTACGAAAACACAATATTAAGTACGCCTGAAGGCAACAAAGCATTAAAAATTATTTCAAATGAAAACACATTTGCTAATTGTAGCAGTGCTGGCAGCGACGCTGGCTACCTTGTGCCAACGCTATGTTTGTTTACAATTGCGCTGTGCTCGGCGACTAGTTGGTTTTGTAGCCCATGTACCAAAGTTCTTGCGTTTACTTCCCTCCTGAGCGCATCCCAAGTCACCCTTGAATTAGGTCTGGTCTCGTTACGCATTTCTGCAGTCGTCGAAGCAGGTGACAATGATGCAGCGCTGTCAGTCATTCTTCTCCCGGGCACGCGCGAACACGGCGACTTCAAAAACCGCACGCGTGGACGATGCCCTCCACACCGCGCCAAATAAACGCGTTATGAATGAGTACTGCAACAAAAGATCGTTTATTATTGCCAAAATGTATTTATTGTTGTCACTGCGGCAATTTAGGGCTCGATTTTTTTCTGACCTGCCAATACTGTGAACGAGAGTACCTCGTTCCGCTGCAAAGGGAGATCGTCGAACGTCCTTTGCGAAATGCTCCGTTTACCTTCGTTTGCGTAAGGGTTGCCGTGTGACACGGACCGCATCTCCCTTGTCGTAAGGACGAAGGAGCTAAACGATGTTCACGGGTGCCGTGTGACAGGGGTATAATAGGGCGTATATATACCGTCCTGAGATAGAACTAAATGGGGTTTTAATGGCGATCACGCGTGGCTGTGTCAAACACTGGGAGGTCTCTTTATGGAGTCGCGTGTTCACTCCGGGTGTTCAAAGTTAAGCTTTTTTTTTAATTCAGCACTGGGAAGAACATGAAAACCACCTTTTCAAACAACTTATATATCTAGGGGGACGCAAAGGAAGAAAATAATTTTGGCTGCCAGTTTCCCAATCAACTAAAATTTAATAATTAACTTTTCGGCGACTGCAGCAAGCAGGCATATTTGTATTGAAAAGTTGGAGGCAGTCGTGTTTCTACACAATATACACTTGGAAGAGTTCTTATGGCATGCCTGTGCTCCGAGATGTCCCATGGCGAAGTTTAATTGTGCTTTGCATGATTACGCATGCAAGACCGTCAGCACGGGCCCGAAGCTCTTCCTGGATCGGCCGTGCCAGTTGCATGCGTTGTTTAATCTAAGAACGGGTCGAAGGCATTAGCAAAGATGATAACGCGGTTGCCTCTTTACACTGGCTCGCCATAGCAAGCTATATGACTTTTCGTCACATCGGGGAGGAACATTGCGCCGATTTTCACCGCCTTGCATGCGTAATCATGCACTGCACAAATAAACTTTGCCGCGGCATATCTCGGAGCACATACGTGCTAGAAGAATTCTTGCAAGTGTAACTGTGTAGAAACGCGACTGCCTCCAACTTTTCAGTGCAAATATGCCAGCTTGCTGCAGTTGTTGAAATGTAATTATTAAATCTTGGTTAATTGGGCCACTGACAGCCAGAATGATTATCTCACTTCGTGCCACCCTGCAGATACATGAGTTATCTGCAAACGTGGTTTTCATGTTCTTCCCAGTGCTGAATTTTTTGAAAACCATAAAGCTCAACTTTAAATAATTGGTATACGTATTGGATGTGGGGTGGAGCCTGCTAATGCATCTATGGAGCTGTTTTTTTTTTTGTGTGTGTGTGTGTGAAGAAGTGACGGTACGGGAAAGAGAGCGCTCGTGCATGTGGAAGGAGCACGTTCATGTGACTTGTCCGTAGGATCGCCTCTCTAAGCGTTGTACTGCAGTGGCACGGGACCTTTCTTGAAAAGGATGGATGTGGTGTGTATACGCAATTTGAAGACTCTTGGGATGGAGGGGGGGGGGGGGGGTCTGAATTTTTTTTTCTGGTCTCCCTTATTGTTTATGGGTGTTCTGACTCCGCTGGGCCGGTGAAGGGGGGTAGTTGAAAGCACCGATTAACAATAATAGAAAAAGATATCTACGGTTTCGTCCATCGGGTGGCAACTATAGGAATATGCAGAAACGTACATGAAGGAAAGCCGTAGTATTTTTGGCAGAGTATAGTAAGACGAACGTGCGCTTTCTAATTAAACAAGAAGGGTTCCATGCGCATACGGACAAACATGGACGCATACCACTTAATTAGCGCTTGCACCTGCTGTTGCACTCTTAAACGAGATGAAAGTAGAGGAACAGATCTACGTTCGGCTATACCGTGGAAAGAAAAAGGAAAACACGAAAAGAATAAGATCGACATTTCTAACTGTATGGCCGGAAATGGTGACAGGCAGGAAATGGTGCGCGCACATCGACGAAAAATAAACAAGCAAGCAAGCGATGGTTTACTTTTACCAGCTCTTAGACAATGCCATGATTTTTATTTGTCGTCTACAGCATTATAGAACTCAGCTTTTCGACTCTACGCTTTCTCTGCGTCGCGTGCGAGAAAGTGCCCCCTCACCCGGTGGGGCGGGGACCTCCTTATCTGGCGCCCCGCCGCGGTGGCCTAGTGGCTAAGATACTCGGCTGCTGACCCGCAGGTCGCGGGTTCGAATCCCGGCTGCGGCGGCTGCATTTCCGATGGAGGCGGAAATGTTGTAGGCCCGTGTGCTCAGATTTGGGTGCACGTTAAAGAACCCCAGGTGGTCGAAATTTCCGGAGCCCTCCACTACGGCGTCTCTCATAATCATATGGTGGTTTTGGGACGTTAAACCCCACATATCAATCAATCAACCTCCTTATCTGGCGGAAAATGAAGTTGCCACCACCAGCGGGCGCGAGAAAGAGATGCTCTATGCTGTGTGCCGAATGACACCGCTGTCTCTCTCATTTGCGAATCAATACGCCGACACTTTTGACGGGCGCCGCAGTGCGCGTTGCCGTTTAACGTGCCCGAAGCTCCTAACAATAAGTTGGAGATGCATGCGCAATCACCTTGCATAACGCCTGCAGTGGCGAGTGCAGTGTTCATTGGAAGTGCGCCGTGTACCCGCTGCTTATACCGCCCTTAATCCTGCGGTTAAGCTGACGTCAAAACAATGCTCATATAATCGCGCCGACGGGAGGCGCTGCCGCTGTCTCGGGAATCGCAACGATGCGACTTTTGATTACTCAACCACCAGCTTTCATAAGCTTTACTTTAGCTCGACATAAACAGAAATGCGCCTTTAGTGATCTGCTTTCTTGTTAAGGCAGGACATAGTTCACTGTTCTCACCTCTGCTAGAGGGTCGCACTCACTAAGCGGAGTCACACAAGAGCATAGGCATTGCAGAAAATTGAAACAGGGAAAGGAGGGGGGGGGGGGGGGGGCGTTGCTCAATGAAAATGTCGATTGACGTTGCCAATAACAAAAAATGAAAAGCCTCTCCTATATCTCACATATGGGTCATTTCCGAAGGGAATTGAGAAGTCAGTTTAAGCACCGGTACCAATCTGCATGGATGATCACTTATATCTCGACGCTTCATCTTAAATATGAAATTTTCATTCCACGCTTCTGTTACAGCACATGACTATATAGATGGGTTGCCTTGCCTCACGAAAAGAATGGTTGAGACCTGTCATGCATGTGTAAAGCCCATGGACATGCTTATTTAGGAAACAAAGCGCGGCATACCCACGGAGTGAATGATGACGAGTGGGGCGAATCGTCCGTCAGTCCGTCCGCACTTCCGTCCATCCGTTCGTTTTTGCTTCTGCCCGTCCGTCCGTCCGTGCGTCCGTACGTTTGTCGGTCTGACCGTGCGTCCGTCCGTCTGTGCGTCCATGCGTCAGTTTCTGCGTTCGTCTGTGCGTCCGTTCGTGGGTCCGTCCGTCCGCCCATCTAGTGAACACTCCAGGTACTGCCATCTCGCATCTCTTCATCATATAGAAGTACCGTCATCCAGCGGACATTTTAAGTACTAAACGAGAGGTGGCTACCTACTACTACGACGACGATGACTACTACTATTACTACTACATACATCGCGGACGCATGACCCACGGCTAAAGGAGCTTTGCCTCTAAAAAGAAATTGGGAACGAAGACAGCCATGCGCGGGTAGGGCCGTGTGCTTGACACCCCTACCATACTTCGATTCCGTAAGTTTTCCAGCTGATTCCGTAAATTTTCCAGCGTATAGGCATGAACGAAAATTATCAAGTGAACTACGGAATGCTTACCGCACACTATGTAAAGGCTCCATTTGTCCATGGCACTCTAGGAGTGACGGTGCCGCACACAGCGTGCTCACACCCTGATCCTTCAATCCTCTTGGCTTCAGTTCTTCCCTGTTTCAGCAGTTTTCTTTTGACCCACAACATTGGTGGTGTGAGCGAAAAAAAAAAATGACTGCATGCGTCACCTCGCGAGAAATTCTCGCGGCAATCCGTGTCTCTATTCGAGTGGAACTTTTGCCGATTTATATTGAACAGCAGCAAGCAAACGTCCATTAATTCGAGCGCAGGTCTCATCAGCATCATAACTGAATCGTTGGTTCGTCTAGTGTTGCAAAGCACCGACTCGAGCTCCGCGGTTTTTCATACTGATAGGTTTGCACAGCGTGCTGCATTATCGCGTTTGCCTCATCGATCATAGCTGGGCGCTGTTAATCGAATAGTTAACGTCAGCTCCGTTTGAATGCTCCGTGCAAACTTTGATTACCTGCACCCGTATAAACTACGGTGCGTTATTGCTTTCGCATTCCACTTTCGTTAGAAAGCGAGTGGAATTCGAACCGCGCCCTTCTACTCATCAGCAATGGCGGAAGCCACTACACGATATTGTATCAGGCACAGGTCGCCAAGGATGACGCCAGCACTGCAGGCTGTGCGAGTAGCGTTCTTAGAATGAGGTAAGTGACTCTGTGGCATTTTGCGACGCAGTACTTCAGCAAGAGCCTGCGCCTGGGTTCCGGAGGTGGCGACGCGTCGTCAACGAGCACCATCAAGAAGCAGAAGGTGCAGCTATGGGACAGCGTCATCAACGTGGTGCTCGTCGAAGGGCGAAACCTGCTGGCCATGGACGACAACGGTTTCAGCGACCCTTACGTGCGGTTCCGGCTCGGAACCGAGAAGTACAAGAGCAAGGTGGGTGCTGCGCGGCGCCAAAGCCTTCTTCCTCATTGTTCAGCTTTCTATTCCTTCTGCCGTATTTGTGATGTGAATGCATGGGTGGATGGATTGATGTGTGGATGGACGGACGGGAGAGAGAAAGAAACAGTTTCGAACGGAGAGACAATAAGAAACTGAGCCTCAAAAATTCTTTTCTTCTTTAAAAGAACAAAATGCAACGACGAAGCTTGGCTTATAAGAACAACTGTATGCTGACGTGGGGCGCCACGTGGTGTAAATTGCTTCTCATTGTGGACGCAGATGACAATTTTTTCCAAGGTTGTAAACTTTTCCCCTTGAAATTTAGTTACTTCAGCGGCGTGAAAATACTTTTATCGTAAACTATAGCTTCCGTGAAGTACATAATAATTAATGAAATAATAATACATAAGCGTGTATATGGCAGAACAGTTGCAGTAATATAATTGAGCTTCGAATACCCTGTACAAACGCGCTTGTTACAGTGTAAACCAAATTTGGCATTGAAACTGGAAACGATAATCTCGGGGTATTTTTTTTTTATGCGAAGCATTTCTTAGCGAACTTCGGTGACATTGAGCGTATCCATCCATCCGTCCGTCCGTCCGTCCGTCCGTTTATGTCTTTTAGCTCTCGTGGCTGTTTGGATAATGGTATCGATACCAAACTTGTTATGGCATAACATGACTATAAGACGAGCATATTTGACTAGTCATAACATGAAAATTATGACATGTATGACATGAATGTCATGATTTACATTTTATGGTGTTGCTGCTCTTGCGCCGGTTTCGTTCACATGACACTTTGCAAAATTGGTATGGTATGACATGATTGCATGGTGAACACAAGTGGCAGACCGTAACATAAAAATCATGACATGCGTGTCATGTAACAACATGACAACATACCACGCTCATGATGCGCTCTCGGCCATTTCGCCAGCGTCACATATACCAAATTTGGTTTACGGTACGTGAATGGATGATGACGGTGTCTCACTGGTGCAAACAAGATAATCATGAGATGCGTGTCATGTAACAACATGACTACATGCTACGCTCATGATGCACTCGCGGCTATTTCGCTAGCTTCACATATGCCAAATTCAGTATTACGTTACGTGCACGGACGACATAGGTAAATGACACATCCAAACATAATAATCACGACATGCGTGTCATGTGGCAACATGACTACATGCCACACTGATGATGTGCTTGCGGCCGTTTTGCTAGCTTCACATATGCCAAATTTGGTATTATGTGACGCCAATCGATGACGAAGGTAACTGGTGCAAACATGATAATGATGAGATGCGTGTCATGTGAGAACATGACTACATGCCACAGTCAAGGCGCCAATACACTTCAACGAGACCTGGCGCGCGTGCGTGCCGGCGTTTGTTTCGTCGGGTCACGCCAGGCGCTGATCCTGCCATATACTCTCAGGCGCCTGCTGCATTGCTTTGACACATGCGCGTTTCAGCGCGATCGGCGTCCCTCCGTCTCGAAAAAAGGCTGACGCACTGCTGTCTAGGTAATGCATTGACGCAAAATGCAGCATGTCCCACTTGGCGCAGTGGCCGTTGGGCCACGAGGACGGACGCTGGTCGCGGTTCACGTCAGAACATAGAGTGCTCGCGTTTTGCTAATGTAGCGTCGCTATGCCCAGCGTTCGCGTGCTTCAACGTTACGTTGGAGTATATTGGGCCCTTCATGATGCGCTCGAGGCTGTTTCGCTAGCTCCACATATACTAAATTTGGTGTTACGTGACGTCAATGGACGATCAAGGTATATGACTGGTGCAAACATGATAATCATGAGACGCGTATCATGAAAGAACATGACAGCATACCACGCTTATAGAGTGCTCGTGGCCGTTTCGCTATGTACACATATACTAAATTTGGCATCACGTGACGTGAATAGATGACGAAGGCAAACGACACATCCAAACATGATCATCATGACATGGAATTTGTGTACGGCATAAATTATCTCCACCTCTTAACGTTGTGCTGATTTAAAGTGGCATATCAACCTTGCTCATTAGTGCTTTGCGTATTATCGATTCCCACTGTACGTAGGATCTGCCATTTTTTCGCTCTTGGTTTTTGTTTATTTATAGCCGGATGGCGATCTCCCATAGTAGATAGAGGTCGTGGCACTGTGAATCGTTTACCATTGCTTTTGAAACACAAGACCAATCTCGGTGAGCTTCTGCGTGTGTAAGCTTAGCGCTCTTCTATAGCAGTTTGTTTGGGAGTACTCTAAATCATCCCCAGTTTTCAGGGTTTTCGTTGGGTACTATCTGAAAATTCTAGTACACTCTAGCGAAGAAGAGCCAGAATTCAAGCTAAAGTTATCAAATGTTGCCGTACAATATAATCTTATCGCCAAACTTGTAGCAAAAAAGATATAAAATAGAAACTATGAAAAGAGCTTTTCTTATTGAATGATGGCTAAAATGGCCCAGTCTTGCTCTGAAACGGGGAGCCGCTGCACGCTGGTCTTTTCTTGTTGACAGACATCGCAGGGGAAAAGAAAGAGTTATTCACGGAAGACGCGTGGTCAAGAAACTGTTGTGAGTGCGTTGCTTCGCCACAGTGCACGAAACGTTGCGGCGAGCTGGACAACTCTACTTTACCCCTCCTTCGACACCTCTCCAAATAGCCCTCGATTAGATAACGCGGCGTTGCTAAAATCTTGTTGTTCTTTGTTGGGCGCAATCTGATCTTGCAGCAACAACAACAAAAAAGCAAACGTCTGAAGGAGCACTTCCCGTTGCTCGTCCAGAAAGGGGTGCTATTAATATTCATCCGATATTTTCATGGGCTGATCTGTTTTTATTGTGTGTCCCTGCTCCGTCTATTATTGAAACACTCAAGGTGTCCGTACTGTGACAGCCACGTATAGGATAGTGTAGCAGAAGTTGAATGGGAGATAGATGAATGGACGAAGAAAAATTAAGCTCTTTTACTAAACCTGGAGATGTTCGATGTCAATCTGTTTCAGAAATAGGCCATCAGTATCCTTTTTTTTTTACTTTCTCGCGTCTCGCAGTTCTGATCACGTAACGACATGAGAAAGCTTGTACCGGGTGCGTTTGCAAATATGGCATACTTAAAAATACTGATTCCCAAGAAACAGCAGCTACATTTCTGCTGCAGCAAACTGTCAATTGTGGCAGACGTCGGAAAAAGCTAAAATCACATGGATCAATGGTTTCTGATTTAAACTGGCCAATTAACTTTTCAATAAAAAGGTAAATTGGTCTCTAATGAATTTGGTTAAACTGATTCGGGTGTGAAAGCCATCTTCTTTTAGGGACAAATCTCCTTAGGCCATGCGTCGTTCCCTCCTCCGTATATAGTATGCAGCTACCTCTAGTTTGAGTTGCTCAATAGATTGCGTTGTGTCTATATGTCCTTGGGAATAACTAGATGATGTTAGTTGTTTTCACAGCATACCCACGGAGTGAATGATGCTGAGTCCGTCCCGCCGTCTGTGCTACCATTCGTTGCTGCTTCTGTCCGTCCATCGGTGTGTCCGTCTGTCTGTCCGTGCGTCCATCCGACCATGCTTAATTCCGTCCGTGCTTCTGTCCGACCATATGTCTATCCATCCACCCGTTTGCGCTTCGGTACGTCCGCGCGTTCGTGCATCCGTCTGCCTGTCCATGCTTCCGTCCATGAGTCCATCAGTCCGTGCGGACGCATGGATTGACGGATGGGTGCCACTCATCGAGTCATCATCCTTCACTCCGTAGATATGCTGCGATTTTTTTCTTCTCAGTTGGTTCTATTGACACCCCGAAAACTTTTGCACCCAACGTGGTCTTGCACTGGCTCCGAGATCTCGGGCAATCAAAGCTTTGTGCACTTCACGAAGTTTTTGAGCGCTTCTGTGCTCAATAACGGTATTTTTCCCAAAGTGAATAATTATTATTTAATTAGAAGGTATAACTATAAGCTGTAAATTAGCATAAGTGTACTTTTATTGAGGTTAACTGCATTGAACTGTTAATTTAATTAAAAATTGTCTTTTTCATTCGAAATACAAGGTTTAAATGTAGCTTAGTCATGTGCAATGAAGGAAAGATGGACATTTTTTTTTTTGAAGGGCTTGATTTTTATGTTAGACACAACTAAATGAATCCAACTGGCAATTAGGCTAAAAAATCGGAGGGGACATTTAATATTGAACAGTAGCCTAGTAATTATGGCCTAATAATTACTACACCATCTTTAAAGAGAACTCTACTGTTTCCTATGCCATCCTTGGTATAATATTCTGATGAACTCATTTGGTTGAATTTGTCATTGAAGAATTCATATAGCATTTCAACTTCGGCTTCCTGAACTGCAAAAAGAGGTTTGCGTTGAGTCTCGTCTGATGAAATACTTTGCTGTTTTTGACGGCACTACGCGCTTTCACTTGCCCGCTTTTTAAAAATGTCATCATGTTTCTGACTATTATCTGCCATTACTCTTTCGGAAGCAGGCCTTATAATAAGCAGTCTTCATTTCACAAACGCTGACGCTTAGTGTCTTACTAAGCCCTAAAATATAGCACTTTTACTAGCTTTCGAGAAACCATGCCGTACGAATAACATGTGACGCTGCCCCGTATAGTTTCGACAAGGCGTAACTAAAGGTTATGATATTGCATTAGTAAACATGCCCAGAGTCTTCAGCATATTCTTTCAAAGATTTATTATTAACCTGTGCCTGTGTGCTGCACTGTCTTTGTGAGTGTAACCTACCAAACCATAAAGCGAGAACGCACGAAACAAAAATGATGGTGAGTGTAACAAAGCTAAACAATGGTTATTGTTGTGACCTCAGTGTGCAGTATATAGTTATTGCTGTCTCGCTTATGTCCGTTGCGCAGAATGCCAGTCAAAACGCTGAACCCTCAGTGGTTGGAGCAGTTCGACCTACACATGTACACGGACCAGCCCAAGGTTCTCGAGATCACTGTGTGGGACAAGGATTTCAGTGGCAAGGGAGACTTCATGGGAAGGTACGTGCGAAAAAATTCCTGCTTGCCCTCACAAGACTATCGCCAGCCTCCCGAGGTTGTGTGCTTGCGAACATCTTAGGAACGTTCTCGGATCACAACGCCAATGAAGCTTTCATGAATTTTCTGCTCTATTTTAAGGTTTATTAGAGCACAAGGAAGTTCGGTAATCTTTCACCTCTGTGGCATTGTCCCATGTGTACACAGTTCTTCGTTTCGTCCTGAACCTTTTCAGAAATTTCGTTAGTGTATACTTTTTCGCATAGCCAGCAAAAATGATTGCAATCTCCCATGAAAAGAGGATACTTGTGGACTACCGTATATAACAAGCTTTTTCATTATTTAAATGTCATAATAGTCATGTTAAATGTCATGATAGTCATGTTATGACTAGTACAGTCATGTTAGGCCATACCAAGTTTGGTATTGATATCATTAACGAAAAAGCTAGGAGAGCTAAAAGTGGTAGGCGGCTAGAGAGATAGATAGATATGATCAGAGTCATCGAAGTGCGCTAAGAAATGTTTCCCATTTAATAGTTGATGTAAGTCAGTGCTAGTGTGTGTCAAGTCTCTTCATAGCCCTCATCTTTTGTGCATTCATCCTGTGTCATGTCCCTTTTGTGCTCACGCAGGTGCTCCATCGACCTGAGCAGCCTGGAGCCCGAGACGACACACTCGGTGTGGCAGGAGCTGGAAGACGGCGCCGGCTCGCTGTTCCTCCTACTCACCATTAGTGGAAGCATGCAAGGATCCAGCTGCGTCTCGGACCTCACCGCCTTCGAGGCCACCGGAGGCTCTGCCGCACGAGAGAAGGCCCTGTGGGCGCGATATGTACGTTTTGAGTGCTATTCCCCCCTTACCACAACGCTACGCTGCATTCCGCGTATTCATAGACGAAGTACAAGCCCTCTTGCTGTTTGCAAACAGAATTCCTGGACGGCTTCCAGTTCTGCGCCTTGAAAATACCGAGACACCCTTCTTGGTTTGCGAAACTGTGAACGTTTGTAAATGTGCTTTTTTTTTGTGAAATGGCGAATTCGATATCATGGGTTGTCCATGGAGCGGATGTTTAGACAAGCAGACTTGTCTTATTCGTGGGTTTAAAATTTTTGAAGTCACTTGTATTTTTTCCTTCAAGTTGCACCTTTCAGTAAGACGAGCCCAATTGCCAAAATGTCATCTCTAGTGACACCCTTTCCCTTCTTGAAGCTTCCATCTTCCCCTGAACTTATGCCATTTCTGTTTTTGTTATTTAACTCGGTGATTTCCTGTACAGCTGTATAGATATGTGGGCTTCTTGATGCTATGCGATCCTGTCCAGTGTGCTTAGTCACAATTTGCACATTTTCTTTTTATTTGTCACACCGCAAGCAGCAAGCAGGAGGGGCCTTGCAAAAACTCTTACCAATTGATTTTTTAGAATCGCGTAAATCTATAAATAGTGTATGGAATGGCTAACAAAAGTGTGATTCGTGTAGCGAAATGGCACTTGTGCCTTCTGTGCCGACCTTCAATGTGGTGGTGACGTTGTTGTACAGTGCTCCAAGAAAGAAGCTCTAAAAGCGCTAATAAATCCGACTATAGTAGTTCTTTGAGTTTTGGTCATTGGTGGGGGACAAGAGAGAAGAGAAATTGAAAGCGTTATTGCATAAACTTTATCTTTAATGTTGATAAAATAATGTTCTTTCTTTCCTTCATTCCTTCTCTCTTTATTGTTCCGTTTCTGTCTTTCTTGTCACACTTTGTTTCTTTCCTTCTCTCAGAGGTCATTTTGGGAATGCGATGTCTCTTTATGACTGATGTTGCACACGGCTAATTTCGTGCCACTTGTTCATGTCCTTTCTTTTCCAAGGTATGAAAACACAATACACAATTGTGGTTTATAAGTATCCATCTTCGTGTTCTTCTTTTTCTTTCACATATGTTGTCGCTACGTTTCAAGTCTTCAAACACTATAGACAAGGGTACTCTTCGATTTTTGTTTTTTTATTGTTTCATGCGTCTTAGCGGAAGCGTTTTTTCTTACCACGGCGGCCCCAAGTTTCAGGGTTCGATAAGTGGCTCTAGTGGCTGTGGATTGATCAGGGCAGAATGGAAGAACCTTCTGAGCTTTCATAGTTCAGTGCAGTGCAACAAGACCATCGTAGGTCAAATTTACAGTGGTGCCATATACTTTCATGACTATCATTGCCCAAGGTATATTTGTGATGGTATGAAGGACAAGCCAGTCTTTTCACTGAGTCACTTCGCCAGGTGTGAATTGCTTTTAGTAGACTTGGTTTCTAACAGTTTTGTGTAATACTTATTCTTTTAATCTAATACCCACCTAGCCTAACGGCAATGTTAACTTGATGCAAATAGTTGACAAAAGTAAGGCATGCTAAGCTTGTACTTCCACACCTGTCCTATACAGTCTTCAGTCAGCGGCATTTTGGCACTGGCTGCTGCCAATTTTCTTTGCATAAGTTCCCACCATTCAGCACATTAGACGCCTTACCACTCATTCGAGCAAATGAGAAAGTGCGTTGACTGCCTTCTCACGACAGTAATTCCCTTCAGGAAACGTCGTACGTTAAGCACACATGCGATGACTTAATATAAAAAATTAATCAAATATACTTGTTTTCTCTCGGCGTCGAAGCATCAGTAGTACGCCTGAGTAGTGCCTGGTCGGGCTCGTCCGATATGTTGTATTCTGTGCAGAAGGAGGCATGCAGTGTTGAAGGACAAAGCTGGAACTGAACTGCCGCTCCTCTATGGCTTGCGTGAAACAGCCTGTCGTCGGTGTCACTAAGCTACCTAATACGCGACTTGTGGCCATGCATTCACTGTGTTTAGAAGTGATGTTGAATAGCTTGATTTGGGAGCCGGCCGTACTTTGACATTCTCATTATTGCCCGTCAGTCAATTAGGTGCAATGAAAGGCTATTGATTGCTTCGGTGCACAGCTTGTGGAATCAAACTGAAGAAGGCGGACACATTGGGCGAGCTTGTGGGGTTATATCATAAATATATACATAATACAGCGCTTAGGACACAGACACAGTGTGCATCACTTCCTTTCTTCGTTTTGTGTCTGAGTGTTGTTTTGTATTTTTATCATGGCATTCAACTGCTTATTATTATTACATGGGGGATTCAATGGTACAATAATATGCAGAAGTTCTTTTGGGTTTCAGAACTGTGAGCGTGTGTACTTGAGAACAAAAACTTATGGGTCACAATGGTTGCGAAAAAGCTTGGATCGATGCTCAGCCTGTGAACACAGCCCCTATGATGAAGTGTTCGAGGCGTTAGTTGCTTTGTACAGTCTGAACAGCTTCGGATTAAACTAAAAGTGCATCACGAGTTAAGAGAGAAGGAGGAAAATCAAGGAAAGGATCGAGAAACAGGGATATAAACCAGACACCTGTCCAGTTTGCAACCATACTCTGGGGAAAACAGATGAGAAATTAAAAAAATTGAACACAAATTCAGAGTTCCTGCACTAATCTCGGGTCCCGTAAACGTTTTTCCGTTGGGTGTACTTCCAGTTTCGCTCGAGCGCATTCGTAAATGCGACACCTTTGCTTGGTTCTTGCAGGGCCTGTTACACAGTTTCTACGACTGGGACGACGTCGGGCACCTCGTCGTCAAAGGTGGGTTGCTGCTCCGCACGGCAAGGAGCATCGCTTCAATGGCTTGAATAGATGACTCTGTCGCTTACCCATCTAACCGCAGTGTACAAGGCACAGGGTCCTGGCCTCTGCTGACCTGGGAGGCAAGAGCGACCCTTTTTGCGTGCTTGAGCTGGTCAACTCGCGGCTGCAGACGCACACCGAGTACAAGACGCTGTCACCGGAGTGGAACAAGATATTCTGCTTGTAAGCACACTTGTCCCTGTTTTTATTGGTTCAAAATGTAAGTGCTCTTGCTCTGCATGTTAGAACGAAATGGCACTCTCGGTGCTATGCGGAAGAAATGACATCAGTATTCTAGTGCTCATTTGGTTTACCTGTGAAACGTAACATCACTTTTATTAGGCAGGATCGTAGTTCCCTTAAAAAGATTTTTTACTTAGTGGCACGGGCAATTTCAAGCAAATGTGTCACATTTTTATTTGTGTTTTTAGTAACACTGATTTCCCTCTGAAAATGCTGATGCAAGAAAAAAACGTTCTCACAGGGCAACAATCCATTTGTCTTGAATACGTTTTGTTGCATGATATGTAGATGAATGGTTTCACTGTAATTGGGAATGTTGGAGCCTAATAGATTGCTTTCACTATGAACTTTTGTTTACTTCGACTAAAGTTGTGAGCTATTGGAGCTAGTGTCTACATGCTGCTGTGATTAGACCGGCGCAAGATTTCCCATAAGGGGGGGGGGGGGTGACAAAGTTTTTGGAAGTGCCCCCCCCCCCCACATTCTTGTTGGTTGACTACAAAGTCCAAAACTGGTTAAACTTGAATAAAAAACAGATGAAAGTGGAGCCAATGCGTGCTTATCACAGTAGCTTGCCTCTGTTCTGTGGCTTTTCTGAAGTGAAGTAAAGTTTGTTGATGGCAAGTAAGCAGTTCTTGGAAAGCAACGTAGGGGCTTTCGGACACCGTTATAGTAAAAAGTCCATGTGGCCATAACCCTGCTCTTTAAACAATGACACATTAGGTCCACTTGTGTAAACGGTTGTATTGGACTTTAGCTCCGCCCCCACCCCCTCTCAGCAGGTGATAAAGAAGGGCGCCAGCACCCCCCTCCCTGCCCCTCTCATATCAACTATGCAACCTTCACTTCCTGCTAGTATTTTTATGAGTATAGAAGAGAGCTAAGCAGAGAGCTAAGCAGAGGTATCCGCAGAATAGGAATGAAAATAAGCGAAGAGGTAGCGAGCAGATGATTGATAGCTGCATGTAACATGCGACGCCTAGATTTTAGGGACCGTTTCACTGTTCTGCTCTAAATCACTGGGGCCATGTTTACTAGCACTTTTTTTACTTTCTTTTTTTTCCACACTTACAGCAAGGTCAAGGATATTCATTCTGTGCTGGAGCTGACTGTCTACGATGAAGACCGTGACAAAAAGTGCGAGTTTCTCGGCAAGCTCGCCATACCCTTGCTCAAGGTGAACCGCGCTTGTGCGCCTCTCTTTTGTTTAGTATTTTGTTTATGTTAATAATTAGTCGTATCACTGCACGGCAAGAGGTACAGTGCAAGAGTGTGTGGAGAGGAGTGGCTGGGCCGGTGTGCGAGTGAGAGAGAGAGATACAACGCATTTGTATTGAGAGCGAATATATCTTATTAGCATTCAACAAAGGTAAGTGGTTGTCAACATATTTACAAAATTAGCTGCAGGATTGATGCAAGAATGCCTTGATGTGCAATGCGTTTGTGGCTCTGTCACGCTGCACTCTCATGTGTCTTCTGGTGCTGAAATCATCGCTTCAATTACGCATGAAAAGAATCGCACTGAGATCAGGCACATAGTCAATACTTAGCATGTTGTAGGTAAAATAGTGTTCGCTCTCTCGATTCACAGATTAAGAACGGTGAGAAAGAAGTGGTACGGACTGAAGGATCGGAAACTCAAGACGAGAGTGAAAGGCCAAATTCCTGCTTGAGATGTCGGTAGTCTACAACCCCGTGAGTATGTTCTCGCTCTGGCACATCGCAGACGTCTCTGATAATTGTCTCATTACACAGCGTATAGACAACGGTGCTTGACATTACAGATAAAAGCTTGCGTGAAGACATTCAATCCAAAGGAGACGAAGTTCATGCAACTTGATCCCAAGTTCAAGCGAATCGTGAGTGTCACAATTGACTACGGTTGTTGCGCTATTTATGTAATTAATTAAACATGACCCTTGAGTTAACATAACGCAACGGCTACCCACAGGTGTTCATGCGCAACCTGACACGTGTGAAAAACATCATCGTATTCGTGATCGACATGGGGAAGTTCCTCAACAACTGCTTTCTGTGGGAGTCCGTGCCGAGGTCTCTTCTCGCCTTTGCCGTGAGTAGGCTGGTTTCTTCTTCAAGTGGCCTTTCGTTTGAAGGGCTCCTAAACCACTCAAAGTTCAAAGACCCGAGAGTGCTATATCTTCCTCACCTTCACTACTTTTCCTACACGCACTATTTCCTCCTAGCCAATACTTTCTTTATAAAACACATTGCTGATGCCAGCACTGAGTGTCGAGACTAACAGGAGGTTTTTCGGCTGCATCTTGTCATCTCCACTTATGCTGTCTAAATGGCACAACACGAAGTGAAGTCAGTTGATGGTGCACGATGGTCGAGCGAGACGAAGCAGAATGGGCAAGCGACAGCATGGCAAAGCAGTATCTGATGCAATTACACTACTACTACTAATAATAATATCTGAAGTTTAACGTCCCAAAACCATGTTATAGTATGAGAGACGCCGTAGTGCAATACTCTAGAAAGTTCGACCACCTGGAGTTCATGGGCCTCAAAAATTTTCGCCTCATTCAAAAATAAAGCCGCCGCAGCCGGGATTTGATCCCGCGACCTTCGGGTTAGCAGTGGAGCGCCATAACCATTAGACCACGGCGGCGGGGCAGGGGATTACATGACCAATATGCCTCGTATATGGTCCAATCGTGACTCCAGCAGTGACTCCTGCTGGAGTCACAAGTCGTTCCGAATAGGTGAAAAACACCAGTGAGAAAATTTCACGTTTGTTCCTTGTATTTACGGTGGTTGTTTAGGGGTCCTTTAAATTTCTTTTCGATCTGTCCAGTGGTGTCCAGTACTTCAGACTCTGATCTTATCTGTACACTGAGTGCAGCCTGCCTGCACTTTTGTTGTGCGCATGCAGTCGTTCATGGTGATCACGTACACGGCCGAGCTGTATATGGTCCCGCTAGCTCTACTGCTGGTGTTCTTCAAGAACCTGCTCGTGCTCACCGTTGCTGGAATCCAGGGTGCCGGCAGAGAAGAGGAAGATGTGAGTGTACTCCCATAAACGTTTTTAGAAGCGAAAACTGTTATTGGCCCAGCCTTTCATGCTAGGGATTTGTTGTAACGTTTCTGGCCATCATAAGCAGGTATGTGCCACAGACACTGGGTAAATCCTACAACCAACCACGGGTCAACTACAAATGAATGCAACAGTTAGCCCAACAAGCAGGTATATGCCAAAGAAGCCTGTGCTCTCTATCAGAAAACCATCATTATCATAAACCCGTATGTGCCTCAGAAATCGGTCAAATCCCACTACGCACATAAGCTGCACAAAAATAAACATGGCATTAGTTAGCCCATAAAATGGTGTACACAGTAATACAGCATAATGAAATGTACAAGAGCAACTCAGGCAAACACAATCCAGCACAATGCAATCCTCGTCGCTCTTTTTTACTAGACTCCACCTCTCGTTTCAGTCGCTCTATCGGTATGGTTTATACTACAATATTATAAAGACTTTCAAGAAATCGAAACGTGTTAACCTATGGGGACGCCACCAGCTTCAGGGTTGCATCAGTGTCCATCAAGCAGAGCTGATTAAATTTTTCCGCAGCATGTCTAACATACACGTCGTCTTGGCATAGTGCTAAGGTGTCTAGGAATTATACAATCCTACATATAGGGTAATTTTATTTTTCAGTATTTTGAGAAACATAATCTATAGCCATGCGGAGCTACTAAAGTTTTGCATCATTTTCTTACTATCCTTTTCAACAGGTGAATGAAGAAGATGAAGATGATGAAGAGGATGAAAAGGACTCCAAAACAGTTGAGTAGACTTTTTTTTTTCTTTCTCGGGTGTGTGTGCAAGCTTTTGGCAGCAAGCGCCACTTCCAAAGCCGTTTGAAAATTACGCCGCTCTTCTATCGATTCGCGCTACAATCATCGACATCAGGCCAACGTTGCTAGTTTAAGTACAGTTGCTTAGCAAAAACCTGGATCACTTTCTGTAACATGTTGCCGCATGTGCCTGTTGATCTTGTGCCCAGGGTACTTGGTACCCATGTGTAATGCATGACTGGGTTATATGATGCATGGTACTTGTCATATTTAGTGGTTTACCACGTGTACCGTGCCAAATGTACATAGAGGCCAATCATTGAAAAGCTAATATAATTTATCTTGTGAAAAAGCAATCGTCTAATAGAGATTAAAAACTACAAGAGCTTTTTCGTGCATAAATTTGTTAGCGTTCCTGCTACGGCTCTTCTCATTCTCTATTCTTCATTCCTGTCTTCATTGCGGGCACTTCAGCGTGATCGCCTTTTTGATCATATGCTACCAAGTGTGTTTCGCACTCACCGCCACTGTTTCTAGTTTGATTTTGCTCTTGGCGCTAGGAAGAGAAAAAGAGCCTCAAAGAGCGGCTACAAGCTGTCCAGGAAGCCACGGCTACCGTTCAGAATGTTCTTGGAGAAGTGGCATCGCTTGGCGAAAGAATCAACAAGTGAGCAAGTGTATTTTCATCTTCTATTCGAATGCTTATTGAACTCGGTTACAAAACAATTTAGGTGCAGCAGCCCTAGTGGATACTACTATGTAAAAGTGATTTAACTATATTTTTCCACGATTTTGCATTTTGTTTTTTTATTTTGCATGTCCTGTCTCACTGTATAATTATTAAAAAAAGTTAATAGAAACCTGTAAACTTGTTCAGTGAGTGCGATTATTTGGTGCTAGCTTGGTGGATTACCCTTAACCATGCTTACGGCGCAAGGCTGCAAGAACACAAAGAAATACACAAACATGTGAATACCATACTCAGTGTAAGCGTGTGCACCCTCTCTCCCTTACCCAAATTATCCAAGAGAGGAGGGTGCACTGTCTGCCGCATACAGTCACTCGGTCTTTTCACCTCATGCTTTTAAAAAAGCCACATTGTGGCCAAGTAGGTCTTTGACGACCGAATGCCCCGGATGTTGCATTCCGAGAACTGCTTATTTTCTATCTTTACTCTCAGTAAGCCAAGGACCAAGAGCACGCCATTGGCAGAAACATGTTGGCATATATATTCTTTTTTCATCCATGTAAAGCATGCTGTTTTTTGGACTCGACCCGCACGAAAGTGTGAAGAGGTGCAATTGAACTTTCACACCCCTCCCAGAGAGTTCCCCTCTCACACTTAGGTGGGGAATTCTGCACACGCCCATGTCGATGTTACGGCGCTGTCTGCGTTTTTCTTGTCTTGTTTCATTCGTGCGTAGCCAAATGCTGTAAGTGCCTTTCCGTGAAGTTACTGGAGGAGTGTTTTACGAAACGTTGCATCGTGGAGCCCTCGCTTGTAGTTGTCATGTTGATGAGCATGCTTAGGTTAACGGCTGTGTGCGTACTTCGTTTGGATAGGTTTTGCTCCAGGGCATAGAAAAAAGAAGAAACAAATGACGCTCATCGACTGCAGGATAGAGCACAATACTCAACGGTTGTGATTTTCCGGTAGTCGATTTCATATGCAAATACAAAAAGGCTTAATGGACCACTCTAACCTGAAGTCGATGTTTAGGTCATGTAAATGCAGGTGGGGAAAAAACTGCTGGAGATGAGCACACACCATGACAACAATGACACTCACTTAACACAGAATTACGGATATTTTTCATGTGGAAGAATACTAAGCAGTAATTCACAGGGAAGCTAAAAAGGTGTAGTTTTTTGTAAAGACTAAAAAATTGGAGCATATTCACAGAGCGAATGATTGAGTGGGACAAAGCATCCGTACATCCATACGTGCATCTGCCTGTCCGTCCGTGCTTCTGTTTGTTTGTCCATCCATGCCTCTATTCGTGTGTCCGTCTGCACCTTCATCCATTCGTCTGTCTGTCTGTCTGTCTGTGCGTCTGTCTGTACATATGTCTGTCTGTTCATGTGTCCGTTTGTTCAAACATTCATCCATGCGTCCGATTGCGTTCGAGAATGCAGACGGCGCGGGGGTAAGATCGACGAGACGTGAGCCAGAGAAGCCGAGCGCAACCATCCTCAACGCGCCTGCCGCTCAGCTTTGTCAATATTCAATACCCCACCAACGATCCGCCACGTACGGCGACTATCCAGGACTATCCTTCTTTGCGCACCTAGGCACAACCCATGCAGCAGCCAATCATAGCACAGCGGTACAGTGCCATTTAGAATATCCTCACTCAACAGTAGTTTGTATGTACTTCTATGAGACAGCGCCATCTATGATACGGTTTGAGAGATACTGCCTTCCCTTTTTAAAAACGATAGTCGTTCTTGAAGTACTTCGACGTAAAAATTTTAGTCTGTCTGTCTTCATTTCTGCCTGTTTGTACATTTGTCTATTTGTCCGTCGTAACGATACCCAAACAACACCAAGTGATACCCTAAATGGCCAATCCCATCTGCAGCGCCCACCAATATTGTTCAAGTTTCAGCGTTCATACTTGTGCGATAGTTAAATAAAAAGCAATTATTGTACATATCTGAGGTGCCATAATAGCACATCAATATTTTGTATGTGTGTTTTTATAGTACTGGAGAAGGCACACATAAGTAATTCTAAAAACCATAGCGTTTATCACGCTGCGCTGACAGTGCAACGCGATGCTCAAAAAGGCAAGTGTTTCCATTGCCTAGCTAAGACGACATGATGGTGGCATCTGCCCGTAGCTTTGCTTTCCACACCTTATCGCCTCCGAGACAGGCACGCATCTTTCTTCGTGGGCGCGCACGCCTTCCTTCGTTTTCGAAGATAACTTCAGGTAGCACTCATGTCTAACGTGCCTCGATGCGCTCGTTCGCCTTCACTGCAGGGATCGAGACTAACAATACAATTTACTGATTTTCTCGTGCAGAACATCAAATAAACGTTTTGTTCACACTCTCCACACGCAAGATCTTTCAACAACATTTGCAGTAAAACATGCAGATACAGGGCCAATTTCTTTCTCGTCTCTTCTCCTCTCGGTTACGTCATACGCAGGACAAGAGGAGCTCCGTCCCTAAAAGCGCGCATGGCATAAGTTGGCTTATTGCCGTGCCTGAGGGCCCACTGAAGTTTGATAACAAGGCGTGACGGCTTGTTAAACCTACAAATCAAGGCTCCGATCAACACACAGAGAAAAAAAGTTCTTGCGCTAGAAGTGTTGGTTAGAGCAAATTACAACATCTACGTTACATTGTGATGCTGTGCTGAACAAATGCAGTGGCCATCTGAGAATAAGTAGCACTTTACAACAACAGGAAAAAACTGTGCTGATACCAGGTGACACTGTTCTTGTAATAAATTGCATGGTGAAGCTTTGAATATTACGGGCTTTGTTGTAGTTTTAATTTTGTTACCATAAAGAGAACTCGCTTTCACAAAAATTTCAAAACACGCATGAATAGTTTCTGGCTGAACCAACTATTACCACACAATTGGTTTCACGCTGCTTGGCTTTTGATGCTCAAGAGCGTGAGTGAAGCTCACTGTAGTACGGATAATTAACTGTTTGAGATGTTTGCGAGATACTCACCCAAGCTTACTCATCAGCTTCATGGGTGACTAAGTCCTGAATGTCTAGTTGTGTGACGCGCGCATCTGAATTTCAAACGACAGAGAGCTGGGATAATTGGTAGAGGTCCATCATGAGTGATCGTAAGACGTAGAGACACGAACGCAAAAGGATGATCAAACTACACAAATACAAAAGTTTGTGAAGTCTAGTCTTCTCTCTGGCAGCATCAGTGGTGCTTACACTCTTTCGTGATACGTCTAAGTTAACGTATACAATTTTCAGTTTTGTTTAGAAAGGCAGTTTTGCGAGCTTCAGCTGGCGTATATTTTTTCTATTGCAGTACGTTCAACTTCAGCGTGCCTCAGCTTTCCTGGCTGGCCGTTGTCGTGTTATTGTTGGTCACCTGCGTCCTGTATTACGTGCCCATTCGTTACGTCGTCATGGCTTGGGGTGAGTAGGTGTTTGCCTTTTTCGTTCATGCTGTTCAGTGAGCTTGTCAGCATGCTTGCAATGGATGTGGGCTCAAATGCACAATTTGGGACTTAAGTCTCCTGATTTAAGAAATGTCACTTGACGCAGGGATAAACAAGTTCACCAAGAAGCTACGCAGTCCCGACGTGGTTCCAAACAACGAAGTGATGGACTTTCTCAGCCGTGTGCCCGACAATGAGGAAAAGGTAAGAACGGCGGCTTAATAGCCAGATTAGTGCAATATACTCGCCGAAGTTTAATACCACTCATCCTCTTGAGAAGCAGTTGCACTTACAAAACACTGTATAACGGAGCTAGATTGAACTATCTCATTGTGATCAGCTTAACATACTGGATATGCTCACACTATTCTACCTCATAGAATTCTGCCTAGTTTATTCCGCACGAGGCAGCCACACAATATGACGTCACGCAAAGTCACACATAACACCTCTTCGCTGACACCACGTATTGTCACTTCACCATAATGCACGCACGCGCACGCACGCGCGAACACACACACACGCCCGAAAACACTTATAGGTCTCCGCATTCGCAGGAGTGTGACATGACGTGCGATTCGCCATCCCATGGCTCATGACTTTCAAACACATGGCACATTTTCATATATATGTTTGTGGGGTCGACTACCCACATATGACTGTATTATTGCTGCGTGAGAGTACGCATATGAATGGATAATAATTGAACCATAAGGCAGCGAACCATAAGGCCCATAAGAACCATAAGGCCTTACCTTAGGAACCTCGATGTGTAAATTAGTATATGCATTCGTATTGCCAATTTATAGATATATGGACCTATAAAATGACAGATGCTAAGTGGCGTGTGTCTGCCGGGCATCTGTCCTCTCTACCGAGCTTCTGACATTCGTGATACAGTGGACCACCCGAATCGAAAGCAAGAAAGCAACTGCGCTTATTCAGAGTGTACAGAATTAGGTTGCAGAGTTTTGTATATGTGTTTCTAGAAGCCAAAATGCAGTGTGCAGATCATAGGAGAAGAGCGAATGGGGATACCGCTATGTGAGTGCATAACACTTTTTGAAGAACACGAGCAATGACTTGGCGAACAATGCAACCCAAAGCCCGCGGCTTCTTTGGAGGTTGTGCATTACACATGGCTCGATCACTGCAGGTGATGTACCGTGAGCTGCGGCCTGTGCCCAATGCGGCCCTAGAGGCCGAGCGCAAGAAGAAGAAAAAAATCAGCTGATCGTGGATGGCCGCCCGACGCCAGGGCTGCTCGCTCAATGTGTTTCGCATCGACAACGAAGCCCTGCGCCGGCGGCTGCAGCTGCCGCGCTTGCCCTTCGGCATGCCTTCCAGATGACGCTGGTCTCGTCACTCGCCATTCACCAAATGGCGACCGCCTCACTGTGGCCCTCACTACGGCAGTGTGATCTACTCTGGTTTTTATTCCTGTGTTGTCCGCCTCATCGTGTTCATCTCTCTAGTGTCCCCCCTCCTCTCCATCTTTCTCGTGTGAGAATGGTGTCCATCACACAGCTTGTTTCGTTTCTGGAACAAACAATGCGCCACTGGTGTTGTTAAACGAATCCAAGTATTGGTGCTGCACAACTTTTAGTAACGGTAAAGCGAAGCAAGAAGGACATTTAAAGGACTAAATTAACTACTCTCAGATGTCTATGGTGAGATATACCTTTCATGGAGCTACGTGGCATATGGTCATTTTTGACGTGCTTTCTGAGTACATTAGTGCCTACATGTGGCTAATGTGAGCTCTGTGTTGCTCAGATCGATCAGTTTGCTTGTTCAGATTGAACAGATCTTGTTTCTAGACTCTCTCTCTCTCTCTTTATTTCGTGAAATAATACAGTTAGTTTGCTTCCTGCTGGTACACCGCGATGTCTGGGGCTTTGTTGATGATAATACTGTACTGCATGTTATTGTTGTGGCAAACTCGAACGCCTGGTGTTCAATGATAAATGCATTGTTGTTCCGTGTAGTTGCAAGCTATAGCCCAGGCATCCCTGGGAAAGCTTTCGTTTTCTACTGTCAAGACGTTATTGAACAAACTTCCGTTTTCTGGACAGGATGTTTTTCAACTGCCGAAATATGTTCGTGCTAGCTAATGGTTATCTCGCCTTTGACGCTGTTTCAGTGATAAATGTATTGTACCGGGAGCATGCCTCTCGTCTAAATGAGTTCTAACGGTGCTGCACAGATGTTTAATTGCTTTGAACTCGATGCAATCTTCAATACATCTTCACACCCAGATTAAGGTGTTCATCCTACCTACACTTCGTTACATGGTCAAGTAGTATGGTATGGTCAAATTTAGGATAAATAGTTGACTATGTCTACAGTCGAATCTTATATGTGGCTTGTTTATGGATGCCCAAAGGTAACGTGTTGTGGGCTGCCAGCGTAGTTTCCAATACACTGTCAAGGTCGTATTGTATAAATAAATACTTGTAAATAGTCAGAAATGCAAAGATAAACTCAAGGCCTGTTGTTTTTTATTTACGTTGTTAGGACGAACAGCCCTTCTGATGGTTTTAAAGCTTCGTCTGAAAGGTCAGCGCAGTAGGAGGCCATGCGTTGTTGCCTGAAGTTCGTGCGAAATGATACCCAGATTTCTTGATCTTCTGTGTGTTGTTTCGTTAGTGTTTTCTTTGAATGAATGCGCTATACCTTTTGTATTTGTACAGAATAACGTGCTTTGTGTATATGCACAACGTAAAGAAAAAAAAGCTGTCTTGGACAAGTGCTTTTGTGCGCTCGTTTCCATGAGTACGTATTCTACCTTATGCACGGTGCCAAAGACGTTACAGCACTCATAATCACTTCACCACCAGTTCGTTGTAGAGGCCTTGTACTGTTTTTTTTTTATGTCTCCAATTTAGTCTTTTAGTGCTTTATATATGTCGAAAGTTGGGTGCTTGCGAAAACTGTTTGAGATATTTTTGCCGTGGCACCTCAAAGGGTTGATTTCGCTGCCCGCAGACTGAGCTTTTATTTGTGATGTTTTGGCCTTCATTTATTAGTGTAAAAAAATAACTGCTTGCCAGATGCTCAGTTATACTTCGTTCTCTCATACGCTATGAGTGTCACTTACTTTCTGGATTTCCTGAGCCCTCCACTACGGTGTCTCTCATGATCATATCGTGGTTTTAGGATGTTAAACCCCACAAATCATCATCATCATTACATTGCCATAAACAGGCTTCGAAGAAATCATGTGTGCTGAGCACTTTCAGCGATTCAACGTTGCACCACGCCCACCTTTGCAGATGCAAACGTTTTGCGTCTGAATGTCTTCTTACGTGTGAGAGCATCACAACGATACTTATACAAGTAAGCTTCTAAGCACAAAAAAAGTATGGACTTGTACAGTATCATAAGCCTCAGCAAGCTGAGGCGGGTCGACCCGAGAGGCGGTTCATAATACCGCTGCTGCAAGCGCTCACGAAAACTTTAAATATGAATGGGCGCAGTTACTTAGGCTTTTGACTAGAAGTAACATAACGATGGCATTTAAATTCTTTTGACGAAAATTTTTTTACGTTTCTTCTAGCTCCATGCCTAACATGCCGACAGAGTGTGTGATAAATGGGCTGTATACTGTTAAAGGTTATGGGAAAATGCTATAGTAAAGAGACACTATAAACATTCTAGCCGCATGTGCACTGTCAAGCTGTCCAAACCATCTTGCGCACAAGACCGCGATGGTCTATTGTGGCTTAATCGTTGTTGCGTTGAGAAAACAAAGATTCCCTCTTACAGCACTCCACCTAAAAATTATCAAACTGCAAGAAGAATTACAATGATGATCACTTGTAAAATTGCCTATGTGTGGTTTGCAGGGATCATGTTTGTTTACTTGTGCTTGTCTTGGCAAAAACTTTTGTAAGTTTTCTGAAACGTTAACGTATTCTTGCACTTTCAAAAGTGAAACGAAACGCTAATGTGTTAAGAGTTTTAGGTTCGCGCCATTAAGCAATGATGAAGGATGACATCGTAAATAGTGCAAAGGTGGGCATGGTTTCTTTGTTGCATTCTCATTTGTTTCTTTATCCTGCTTGGACTTGTGCAGCCACCCTACTCGTATTTAACGCTTGTTTAAAAAGTAGCTGGCGGCTGTCCTTCTTCGCACTGCTACTAGAACTACATCGCTACAGCTTTCCCTCGCTGGAAAGCAATGCATGTCGACAGTGGTCTAGTCTACGTCTGCAGTATCTGCAGTAGGATTATGATGTCTCGTTAGCAGACAACCTATTATATTTTAGATCTCTTTATGAGATGTCATGGGGCAATCGTATACTGTCTGTGTAGAATCTAGTCGGAAGATTCAAAGTGTCCATGTGACATTATCACTAAGAATCTTCAGCTGCCAACGTACCTCAGAGGCATTAAATCTCATGTTTGAATTCATGTACTTTTCATAGCATAGCCGTTTCCTTTTTCAAGTACGCACGCTGCATCTTGGAGAAACACTGATGGTCGTCCCCTAAGCAAGGGGCTACCAAAATGAACACCAGATCATATGTTGGCATTTCTGTATTCATGCCTGCAATGTTTGAATAGGGCAAGAGGCATACCTGTAGATCATTTGCATCCATATGCCCCGTGATGACTGATTGGAGTAGAAAACACAAAACAAGTATATATGTTTTTTGTCCAAGGCATCATTGAATATTGCATTGTTAAAGCTTTTGCCCGGGTCACGCTGTTTGAGCTCGTCGAGCCTGGTAATGAAGCGAGCTATCGCTGGAAATTGTCAGCTGCGAACTGCCATTTCTTGTCTTTAAAGCGCAATTATGTTATTACGTGACTTTGCGCATGAAGAAAATGTTGTCAAGCACGGGGTCCTTTCAAGAGGGCGTTTGCAATCCATGTGATATTCTAAGAGCTGACTTCACGTATTCTTTCAATTTTTTGAGTTCAATGAAACTCTGACTCTTAATAGGTAGTACAGCGATGCCCACGAGCAGCCGTAGGCTGTATTTATGACCGCATGCTTTGTATACATTTGATATAATCGTCCGAAGTTTCTGCCTCTCGGACGACACAATTTGCAGTGAGTTGAATGTTTCCCCGGACCCCTTAAAAGTCGCAGCGGAATTTCAAACACAGCCCATTTGCAGCTTGCGTACCGTTCGACAGTATACATGAATACATATGATGGTGCCAGTGTGTGGAAGCCTATGAATACTGTGTATGCATCTGTGAATACAACGCGATGTCGCGGAGAGCCAATTGGACATGTTTTCTTGTACTTAAGAGAACAGCTGATTTCTCCACATTTCCTTGACTCTCCCTTTCCTTGACTTTCTCACCGTTTATGCTGTTCATCGTTCTCTCCTCTGCCATTGCTCCAGCCAGAGTTCACGACAGATGCTCGATTCTATGAAACATGTGTGCCTTTTTAAAAACAACTATGCGTATGACTATTATCAGTGTCCTGTGTGTCGTTGTGCTACAGTGTTGCGTAAATGTAAGTGCATGCGTGATTATGTGAAAAGTGTCTGCTAAAAAATGTACGATGTGGCTAGAAAGAATCATCTTCAATTCTTACTTCAGAAATTTTCTCGACTAATCCTAACCGTACGTATTGATAACCCAAACAGTATCCCATGGATAACTAGAACAAATGCAGGCTGTTTCTGCATGAAAATGTTATTTCATAAACACACATTACAGAATGTCAATGCTAAAATGTAATTAATGCAATGACAATTTCGTTGCGACGACTTCAGTGCTATCAGTACAACGAGATAAAAACGTCTCAGTGGCCACTGTGACAGTCAGCTTGCCTCATCGAGAGGATCAGATAAAAGTAGCATACAAACAAGCCAAATGAATCACTACATTATAGCTGCCAAAGAATTCACAGCAGTCAAGAGACCATGTTCAGCTTAATATAGTGAAAGCAAAACACATTTTCTGTATTTTGGTAAGTTTTCTGCTCACACTTCCACTCCTCGCGAATTTGGGTCAGCAGTCGCCATGATACAAGAGACAGGAATCTTGAACAATTAAACCTACGCCGTCTTTTTGAGCCGGAATCTTATTTTAGACGGGTATACTCGACAGCGCTAACTCCGTATTTGTTTTGCCATACTTGGAGTGATATGTTGAGGATCACTTCAATGGATAACAAATAGACATAATATCTGCATAATTAAAGCAACACCTAAGCAACATTTCATGGAATATGAACGCGGTTATTGGTCTCGAGTAGGTATCGCTGATTAGCTCAGAGATTTATGCGAGCAGTATTTGTGCCCATAAATCAGTTCAACCAAATGTAGTTACTAATAAGCCATATTTTTGGAGACGCATTGAACGACCTAGTTCTGGTTTCATTACATGTGATGACTAGAAAATTAATTTACAAGCTATTTAAAAATAGAAGACACGTTGACCATGGTACGTGAACGGGAAAGAACGCTGATTTGGGTGTGTATGCGTGCAACATGAAATGAGATGTGAATGAGTTTTTATTACGCTGTTGTTCAGATACGATATCCGTGTCTCCTCACTTGCTGCAGAGGCAAGCTTGTCACCAGAGTTACCGCCCTTCGTTGATACATGACGCGACGATGTGCTGTAGGGTTATGTCAATTATGTTCCTTCTTCGCTCACTCTCGAATGCAAACTATGTGTTGTGAATGGATGAGCGTAGCCTGCACATATGGTGTCTTGCTGTTTTACATATCATTATATTTGTGCATTTGTGTGTGTTTGCTCATCACTTTGACTGTGTAGATCTTGAAGAGATTATCTGCATAGCGCTTATTTTTGTTATTTCGCTGGACGGTATTGGTGCCGTGGGTGAGCCGATCACAGTTGTTTGTTCGCACACTGTTGGGTGCAATATGAATCCGAGATCAAGTGCATGTGGTTGTGAAATCATTGTAAGGAGCTTGTGAAAAAAAATGCGGCCTCACCGAAGACGCATGTTGACATTCCAGAAGATGAATTAAATGCTTTTTCATTGCAACTTGGGCAGTGATGAATTTTGTTTATCGCTGTCAATACGACACCGATTCCTTTTGTTTTACTTCAAAATATTTTAGAGGGGCAGCAGTGGAAGGCTGTAATGCCAGATACTGCAATTTGAAGGGCATCCAACAACAGCAACTGCAGAAGGCTAAATAAGCTGACGTTTAGGTGTGCTCAAGTGGACATAGCGATCATGACGACGAGAAAGTTAGGACATCTCGATGGCTTGGTAGTTAGGTTATCAACTGCTGACACAAAAGACACAGATTCATTTTGAATCGCGGCGATCACGTTTCAATAGAGGCCAAATGTTATAGGCCCATGTACTGTGCGATGTAAGTGCACGTTCAATAACCCCTGATGGTCGAAATCATCGGTGGTCCTGCAGTACATGTATTTGTAATGCTGAGTAGCTTTGAGGCATTAAAGACTATCGCCCCAGCAAGCAGCATACCTTTGTGAGCAGTTTGACCAACGTATGAAGATGGGCTAGGGCAATAGGGAGAAAGCGTCGGTGTGCGGCTATACCAATAGCTTCGTTAGTGAAAAACGCATTGAAGAACTTGTTGCTGGAAAGTTTTCGTGAATAAATACTCTCTGCAATGCCATACAAATTCGATCCGCAAAATTCGTGAATACCAGTATCATGGGCTCATTAGGAAAGAGTTGTAAAAATGTTTTATTTACAGCAGTTGTTTGAATATGACAACTAGGAAAGAAAATGCAGCATACCCATGCCTGCTTATTGTACATTGCTTGATTCTCGGTAAGTGCCGTAGACAATTTTTTTGTTAACTGTTGAACGGACATCGCGGCCTTCTTTAAGTGGAACCTTTTTTTCACAGCTTACAAATGACAAACTATGTTTATGCATTAGTCCAGCTTTAGTAGCCAACTTACTTTACATAAAGTATTCTTCGTGTTTGTAAATGACACGGACATAACGCTGAATGATGCGGTTGCTACACAGATAAGTTGCATATTCAGTGCAGGCTCTGGTCAGGAGACAATGTACAATTGATACGGCTTGTGCGTGCAAGCAGTGTTGGTGGCATGTAAACCTGAGCTTGAATGTCTCACCTTCCGGTAAGTGTATTTAATAGTTTCCGCCTCGGTGGATCAGTGGCTAGGGTGCCCAGCTGGTGACTCGAAGGCCACGGGGTCGATCCCGGCCGCAGCGGTTGCATTTCGCTCACCAAGGCCTTTCCACGATTGCCGCTTAAGCGCGTGACGTCACTGCACTACAACGGCTGGAGCAGACGCCGTCGACGGGCGAGGTAGCACAATTTAGCGACAGCGGCAATCGTTCTCTCCGCAAAGTTTTCCGCGTAGTTTTAGACCGTATCTAGCCACCATAACCGTGCTTTTAAACCACATAAACACGAAGTACAAGATGGCGCACTTTTGCATAGAAGACGTAATAACAATTTTTACTAATTGAAAACACGCAAACCTTATCTGGAATTATGCAAAAATTTTGTTTTTGCTTATTTATTATTTAAAATGAAGTTATAATTAGGCAGATTTTTAATGGTAGCTTGAAAACAGTAATTTGAGATAGGACATCGCCATCGCTGTAGACATCGCCGTCGTGAAGTTTGCAGTTTTCACAGAGAGAAAAAAAAAAACTGGAAACAAATTCCTTCCTCCGTGCACAGTTCCCTAACGTGCCTTACTTGTTCATCTTGCGTCGTTGTTTCTTTGCGTGCCGTTTGCTGAAGTGTGGTTCCGGCGACAAATTCTTGGATGGCAGTTGAAAAAAAAAAAAAAGACGTGCTTGAAAGCATTAAGTTTCATACAATCTCATGAAACTCTATGCTTGAAAGTGACATGTGCGTGTGACATCGTGTTTCGAAAATGCCCGGTCACTGTTGTGCTCCTGGCCGCCTCGGGTACTACGAAGGGGACAAGCTCGTCTGCACGTCTTGCTTTTCCCGGCTGATGCCGACGGAAGAAGGCAATGGTTAAAAGCCATTTCACGTGCTTATTGCGTACCCGGAACACGCCGTGTGGTAAGTCGCAAAATCGTGACATTTATTAAACGATGCTTGAACATTGACATGCTGCGTGACGCTAGTTTCGTTGTTTCACTCGTCGTGTTAGGTCTCCTAAATATGGCGAACTTTGTCTCTCAGGTCTGCGAACGGCACTTTCTAGCGTCACACATTCATACTTCTTTGAGTTATGTGCACCCGAAAATAGGCAACGTCGTCGAGACAAAATTGAGGACTGTTCGCCTTAGACGCAACGACTTCGACATTAAGGTTTCGGATGATGAGATCAGTAGTAGTATATAAAAAATTAATGAAGTATACCTTCGCGCAAAGGGGGACGAATAAAACAATCAAGTTTTGTGCAATATGATTTACAAACACAACAAAACTTTCGAAATGGCATTCTCCGCACGCGAACTGCATAGGAAAGCTAAGGGCTCGCAGAAGCCGACCGTCTCGGGCCGTCGCCATCGCTGAGCTGTGGAAGGCCTGTGACACGGATGCTAAATCAAAAACAAGGTGCGCCCTGTTGCGTCACGTCACCTTGAACGGGCGATCGCGCCTTGGCAGAGTTGACAGTTTTGGCCGCTTTTTATGGTGAGGGCGCTGACACTCCACCCTTCAATCAATTGGAAGGGTACGAAGCGCTAGGTTACATCCAAAAGGTAACAGCCGATTCGTTTCAAAAGAGCGTCCAGGGGATCTCCCCAGTGAGTAAAAGGGTGGCGGAGAAAGCAACAGAGGAAGAGCTAGTACTAGATAATTTCAACTGGAAAAAGGCCGAAGGAAAAATTCCAAAGCGCACTGCCGCGGGTTTAGATGGGATTCCCGTTAGCCTCATTAACGAACTAGGACATAACACTAAAGAAGCATTGTTAAAAGCAGTAGAAAAAAGCTTAAAGGACGGACAAATACCGGACAGTTGGCGACAAAGTAGAATGAACTTAATCTATAAAGGCAAGGGAGAAAAGGACAAGATTCGCTCGTATAGACCACTAACCATTACATCGGTACTATACAGGTTGGCGATGCAAGCAGTAAAAATGAAAATAGAAACATGGGCCGAACATAACGATATTTTGGGAGAACTTCAGAACGGATTTCGAGTCGACAGGCGGTTAGACGATAACCTGTTTGTTCTCACTCAGTGTATAGAAATATCTAAAATAGAGAATAGGCCCTTGTACGTGGCTTTTCTAGACATCACTGGGGCATACGACAACGTTAATCAGGAAATTTTGTGGGATATATTGAAAGGAATGGGCATGGGCGACGACTGTATACAGCTTTTGAGGGAGATATACCGAGAAAATACAGTTTGCATAGAGTGGGAAGGAATGCGTAGCAAAGAGAACGTTGAGGTTAGCAGGGGTCTGAGACAGGGATGTCCTTTGTCCCCACTGTTATTCATGCTGTACATGGTGAGTATGGAAAAAGCGCTAGAAGGTAGCAACATTGGTTTTAATCTGTCACACAAACAGGGCGGCATGATGATTGAGCAGAAGCTTCCAGGTTTATTTTATGCGGACGATATCGTCTTATTTGCGGACAGTCGAGATGATATACAGCAGCTGGCGAATATATGCGGAAGGGAAGGTGAAGCTCTTGGACTAGGATTCAGTGTAACGAAGTGTGGTTTGATGGTATTCAATGATCCCTGTGATCAGACGGTGTCCATACAAGGCCAAGAAATACCGAGGGTAAGTGAATACAAGTACCTTGGAGTATGGGTAAATGAGAGTGATAGATACATGGAGGTACAGGAAAAAGCCTCGGCAGCAAAAGGAAAGAGGAATGCGGCAATAATGAAGCACAGAGCGTTGTGGGGATACAATAGGTATGAGGTGCTTCGAGGTCTGTGGAAGGGTGTAATGGTTCCAGGGCTTACTTTTGGGAACTCAGTGGTGTGCATGAGGGCAGAGGTGCAATCGGGAATGGATGTAAATCAAAGGACTGTGGGACGCCTCGCGTTGGGTGCTCACGGGAAGACGACAAACGAGGCTGTAAAGGGCGATATGGGGTGGGCAGGTTTTGAGGCGAGGGAAGCGCAGAGCAAAATAAGGTTCGAAGAAAGGCTAAGAAATATGAAGGAGAGTAGATGGGCAGAGAAGGTGTTCCGTTATTTGTATAGGAAGAGCGTGGACACACAGTGGAGAAAAAGAACTAGAAGACTCACTAGTAAATATACAGCTGGTATTGTGAGCCATATGTCAACAAAGAGCGTTAAGGGAAAAGTCAGGGAGGCGGAGAGGATTTACTGGATGGCAGCTATGGAGAAAAAACCGGCTTTGAGTAACTACCGAAAGGGCAAAAATGAAATAAGGAGGGAGGCATTTTACGATAATTCAAGGGGAAGCGCTTTACTGTTTGAAGCGAGATCGGGTTGCCTTAGAACGCGTAGTTATAAAGCAAGATTCAGTAAAGAAGAAGAACAATGCACATGCTGCGGGAAAGATAAGGAAACGGCGGAACATGTTCTGATTGAATGTGGAGATATCCACCCAGGTGTACGTTTGGGCACGAACCTACAGGAAGCCTTGGGTTTTAGGGACAACAATGGAAAGCTGAACACACCCGCGATTGAAATAAGTAAGAGACGGTTAGAGTATTGGTGGCAGAAAATTAGAGAGAAAGGACAAAAATAAATATTGGAAAAATAAAATATGGACAGTGTGCCGTAAATGGCAGAGAACTTAAGCTGAAAATTTACCTTTTTTCCATTAAGATAGAATTTATCGAAGTAGAGGCATTAGGCCAACATAAAAGAAAAGGAAAAAAGGTTTTTTTTTTTTTTTTTTTTTGTCGAGCCTGGTGGCATACTTGTCACCACCCCGTTATAAAGGGGACGCTCATAGCATCCATCCATCCATCCATCAAAACTGATGACATTTCGTGTTTTAGTGTGGTTGCTTGCGAATTTGTGCTTGTCCGTGTGCTTTTTTTTTGTGTGTTCTTTCTCGTGCTTTTTTTGTGTGCGATCGTGTGTGTGGGGTAGCTTCCATCA